CATCAGGAATTTATACTAGTACCTTTCTTTAAAAGGCCTCTTGAAAGTAGAAAATCATTTCAGACCAAGTTGTTGGCCTTGAACATTAAATATGATTTTCTTGGGTATTTGGTTCATGCTTAATTTTAATAATTGTTCATGATAAATTTAGTCTTCCCACTATATACTTTATGCTTGAAATGTTCTACTTTACCACTGTCTGTATTTTTCCACTTGAGGGAGAAGTCTCTAGGGCTCCTGCTAATTACTGAGCTTATTAAAAGTAGCAGATTAGATCTATTGCTTAATTGAAGTTACAGGAAAAGCTACCCCACCCCCAACACTCACAGGGATGCACCGGGGAGAGGCCTCAGAAGCACCAAAGTGAAACTCTAACCCCTTCTCTCCTCACCATGATTAGGCACTGCCTCCAGGGATGGAACACACAGGGACCACAGTTTGGGGAGGTGTTTTGCTCCCAGCCTTTCATGGAATTTAGAATCTGAAGTCCTTGTAGGACCAGTGCTTTTGAGGTTGGTCCTCTCCATGGATTCGGCGTGCTTGGGAAGGAGGGCTAGAGTGAGGAGTTCCCCAGACTTGGAGGTGGTTGCCCTTGGCTAAATGAAAGGCTGAGGGACTTGGGAAGAGGCCAGGCCTGATGCAGGTGAACTGGGGTTCACTGGGGAGTAGCCTATCTCTAAGGATGCTCTACCCTGAGCTGCTCTTTCAGAATGAGTTCAGGGACTGAGATAAGAATCAGCATTATAGTTGCTGGCAGTCTATCCACTGGCAGCAGTTAATAAAGTAGCATCTGGTTTCTTCATCAGTCTCCTCTGAGCCCGGTTTCCTTGAGTCAGCCCTGGCTATGTGGACCAGACCCGGGAACCCAGGGACCTGAGGGCTGCCCACTTCTCTGTCATTCACAATCCTCCTTTTGTCTTCATCACCCATAGATATCTGGAAGCTATAGGCACAAATTCATGATGTAATACAATTGAACACTGAGGAAGGCACAGTACCAAGTTTTGTCTACTCTTACTGTGTGGGATTCCCAACAACACCCTTTGGAAGCCTGTGAACTTCTGCTAAAAACCAGAAGTAAAAATTCTGAGTCTGTCCCTGGAACTAAAAATAAATGTAGGCTAGTGTCCAGGAAGAGGGAACAGTTAACAAGTACTGGAGAAGAGCTTCCAGTCTTGCTTCTGCTCAGTCTATCTCCCTCGATGAAGCCAGAGAGAGCATTCTAAAAGGAGGACTCATTGGGCCACTTTCCTGCTTAACACTCTTCTGTCTAGAATCCACCCTCCCACATGGCGCATGAGCCCTGGCAGGGACTCCCAAGGCCACCTTTCAGCTTCAGGTGCTCCTCCCCTTGAATTCTGCACTTGAGCCTCTTCACTATGCTTTGCTTCACTATGCTGGCTTGTCTCTGGGCCTTTGCACGTGCTGTTCCTTCTCCCCAGAACACTATTCCACCAACCCTTACCATCCTTTTACCTTGATAACTGCTGTTCATATTTCAGACCTCAGCTAAAATTCTGACCCCCAGACTCAATTAAATTCTTCCTGGAAGTTGCTGTAGCACCACAAACAATACTTAGTTCACTCTCTGTTTTATTTACTGGTTTCAACACTTGTTCTCCATGTCTGTGCTGTCAGGGACTCTGAAACCAAGTTCTTTTAAAAAAAATACTGTAAATTTAGCTTTTATTAAAGTTATATGAGCACACAGTTGAGAGAATCAAATAGTTCTACTAGGCCTGTAACCCCCATTACATTTCCTGTTCCCCAGAATCGACATTTTTAAACTTTTAACCAATTAGTTTTGTATTTACCTTTATATTTTTAATTAGCATGCATATACTGCTACCTCTTGAGTTTTCAGTTTTAAGCATCTACTGATCTCCCATGATGGATGAGTGAGGTCTCTTGCCCACCCTCCCCTCCCCTAATCCTATCACACATGCACACATCCTGTCCCCCATCCTTTCCTCCGAATATAGCCACCGTACTCTTGGTTAGATCAGCACTCACTGTTTACATTGTTATCATTATGCAAATGTCATTCACATGTGATTTACCAGACTTACTGCTGAACCATGTGGTTTACCATATTTACTTCTCCTTTTCTATATATCATTTTATTTCCCTGCCATTAATCTATGAATATTTGCTTAAATTTTCCTGTGCACCTGTCAGTAATTTATCTCAAAACTTCCCTGAAATTATGACTCTTTCTTTTCTGTATCTTCAAATACATTCTTAATTTCATAGTGAAGATGTCTCTCGAAGCCTTCTCCAGTCCAGGCTGGTTGACTCCCAGCCCAGCTGCACAGGAGACCTCTGTGTCCTTCACTCTAGGGGCCTTTATCACCTCTCTCTAGGCTGCATCCACCCTTTCCTAGATCCTCTGCTTCCTTGGTTTAAATCCTTGTTCTGGTGGTGTCTCTTCCAGCAGACTCCTGAGAAGAGACAGAGGGAGTCTGCATGTTTGAAAGAGTCTTTCATCAACCCTCATACCTCATTGGTACTCCAGCTGGAACCAGACTTCTAGGTGGGGGTCATTTTTCCTCAGGATGTGGAATGGTTTACTTCATTCTCCTGTAGCTCCCCAAATTGCTGTGGAAAAGTGTGATGTCTTTCTAATTCCTGGCCCTTCATAATGAAACCTGCTCTGTTCTTCTCTGGAACATCAAGGAGCGTCTCTTTGTCCCAGTCATCTGATGTACCTGGTGCTGGTCCCTGTTCATTCATTGTGCTGGGCACTGCTGGGTGGGTCCTTTACATCTAAAACTCATGTACCTTGGTTCTGGAAAATGTTATTGAATTACTATTTTTTGTTTTCTTCCCTCCATTTTCTCTATTCTAACTTTATGGAATTCTTATTATTTCTATTATTCTCTTGAAATATTCCTCTAATTTTCTTTCCTTTTCTCTCATTTTCCATCTTTTTGTCTTTTTGTTCTATTTCCTGTGAGACTTTCTTTAAATCTTATATTGAATTTTTTTGCTTTCATATTATTTAATATCAAAGGAGACACCCCCCATATACAAATATATATAATTTTTAGTATGGTACCCCTGCCCTCAATTGTTCCTAGTGAACCCTAGCTAAAGGACCCTCTGTTTTACCTTCTCCAGAGAAAAAAATTCCAGTCTTGGGGGGATGGATGTGGGAGGGAATCCAGGGATCCAACTGCTTCTTAAAAAGACTTTCATTCAGTCTTTTTTAAAAAATTTTTTTATTAATTCCTGATTTTACCCTCCACTTCTAGATGCCCTTGGTTGCTGCGCATTCCTGAGTCCTTTTTTCTGTGATTTGACCTACACTGCATTTTAGCCTTAGCTTTTTTGGATTTACTAAGTCAGTTACCACTTGCCCATTTGCTTTTCTGTTTCCAACATTTTGTTGCCACTGCCTCCTTTCCCATTCTTTGTCCCTGTAGTTTTATGCCCTTAAAAAATAAATCCTGGTAACTGTCATTTCACTGGGATTTGGGGAGAAAGCAGAGGCCAGAGCCTGCATCCAACCATTCAACTTGTTATCTCTAACTGTCAGTTGGTCTCCAGGTCCTAGCACATACCTTAGCACATAAGTGGCCAATAAGTATTTGTTGGTTGAACAGACTGTTGGAGCCACCGTCTTTCCAACATCATTGGTCACCAAAAGGTGACAGCCCTTTAAATTGAAATCTCCTGAGTTAAATAGCATTTACTGCTTCTCACAAATTCACAAGCCCATCTGAAATATATATTAAGCAACATTGTGCAGTGAAAAAATTTGGAAGCCAGCAGGCTCTGCCCACTAATTGTGTGCCCCGTGACTACCAGTCAGAAACCTTAGTGAAACCTTAGTGTGGTCTTCTGTAAAATGGGAACATTAACATTTTCAAATACCTTCCTCAGTGCCTAGAGCATGGGAAGCTCCAGATATCTGTGTGTGGAAGGGTTCTATACCAAAGCGACAATTCTTAGAAAGTCAGTGTTTTACTTAAAATTAGCCTTCACACTTGAATTGCAAATGGGTTCCTAATTAATGCCCTTCAGCACAAAAATCTGTGTTTAACCTGACTTGATGTTGAGACAGACTGCAAAACCTGTTCAGTTAGGACAGGAAACTAATGTTCGCCACTGAGGGTCTCCTGTGGGCTAGCGCCCCACCTTGGTCAGGCGGGTGTGTCTAGAACGTACATGAGGAGTTACAAATAATACCGTGTGTCTGTCTTTCAGACCGGGTAGTAAGAGACCCCACTCACTCTGACTCTTCCTCACCGCTGTCCCGCTCAGGTCTGGCTATAGAACTGGTTTGTTGCAAGGCGCCCAGTGTGGGAGCCCGACATGTAGCCCCTTCTCGTTAGTCAGTCCCAGCAAGGGGGGCGCACAGCATATACTGGTCTTCCCCGGGCAGTCTCCGGCCTACTTGCAGAGGATTCCACTTCCACCAGAGGAGAAACTGAGGCAGCGCCGTGGGAAAGCAACTCCGTGTCTCCTAGGTCCATCTCAACCCTCCTCTCACCCCCCACTCCTCCAG